AAATTCAGTTTGCATAATAAAAAAAAATCTAACAATCATCACATAATTCACAAGGCTTTGTATGCCTAAAAAGTTTATGAAGGTTTTGAAAGCTTATAAAGTCTTTTAATCTATAAAATTTCTATTTAAGTTCTCAATAGTAAAGTTTCATTCTATTCCCTCCACAATTTATGTACGTTAATTTAAAAGTTCAAAAACTAATTGACATAATAGACAAAAATGAATTTTTTTTTTATAATTAAGGTTACAACACGAGAATAACAAAAGAAGTTATAAGTTTTAAAATTTGAATTTTTGAATTATTAGATGTCACATCTTAATAGTGACTATACAAATTAATTAAGTTAAAAATGATTTTCAATTTTACATGATATGTTCAAAAATCATGCGGATGAGTAGTAGTGGGAAAAAGTGAACATGATGAATAAATAGTATTATATGATTGACGTAATGATCATAACCTCAATCTTTCAGTGAAGAAGAATCATGGTTCTGGAATAAATTACCTTTTATAGATGATCTTGTACCGGACGGGTATATGGCTGTAGACCAAGGAAGAGATGCTCGTAAATGAGGACTGGTTACGATGCTTAGGGTCGACTAAGACTTATGCTTCCTTTTCACTCTTCCAAAACCACAATTTTTAATTGATTCCCTGGAATTTTTGTGAATCTGCTTCTCTTTTCTTTTTTTACAGGAATCTCTTATTGCAGTTTGCTTTTTATTGATTTAATAATTACTCTATGGGGCAGAATTATCAAAGCATAGAATTTAAAGTTTAGCTTAGTTGGTTTTATGCAATTATTTTTAAAAAATGACATTCATGAAATTCAAATTTTCATACTTACAATCATTTCTCTTATCTTCAGATACGATCTCTTTTGTAAAAAAAAAAATCAATGTGACAAGTGTTTCTCATATCAACCTTTCTTACGATATAACTTTACACATCCGAACAGATGCTACTTAAAGATCGACGCTTGCAATGACTGCACCGAACTTCCAAATCGTTAGACATAAATAATTCTGCCACTTATTGTCTTCATTAGAAAGTATCTGATAATTTATAAACACTTATCTGTTTCTTCTTTCACTGCATGCCTAGAATCTGATTCGGGAATCGAGACCGTCATACAATTGTAGGCATTGAGGGTTAAGATCAGACACGGCACCTCTAGAAACCAAGTATATTGATGCCAATCTAATATACATACATATATATATATATATTATATTATAGGATACAAAGTTATCATATAAGAAATACTGACATAAATATCTATATGAATAGTCTCTCTTTATGATACGTAGGATAATATTTATATTATATTATTTAACAAATAACTCTATTTAGTAAATTTTTTAAATTTAATATGTTTGGATAATTATTTAAATTCAAATCAAAATCTATAAAAATATTATAAATTTTATATAAATTTTAATTTCAAATATATTAAATTATAAATTACCTTTCTTTTTTAATTTAATCATAATTCTAAATATATATAGGCTTAATTAATTTTTATTTGATGTCAAATAATTTTATTTAATAAATCATATAAATTTTTACATAAATTTTAAATTTAAATATATTAAATCATAATCTATCTTTTCTTTTCAAATTTAATCATAGCTCTACATATTATACATATATATATGTATATATATACACACACACACACATATATGTATATAAGTGTGTATGCTTAATAAATTTTTATTTTCTGAAACTAAAATCTCAAAATAAAAATAAAGAGCTTATAAAATGAAAACTTCACCCTTTATCAATGTTATTTTATTTGTTACTATTAGAATTAGAAATTGAAGAATACAATCTTTTTTTTTATTTGATGATTATGTTTATGGGTTTTAATAGGAATGAATAAAAGTTAGAAAAAATAATAACCACATCATACTCATGAACAAGTAAATTCATTTTATGCATTTATTATTCTTTTATTTCTTTCATTTTTATTATTTAGTTTTAAAAATAAGTTTGTGATGGTGTTTGATTTTTTTTTTCTTTAGATTTCAATAATGAAAAGAAAATGAGCACACATTTGGATTGGTTTCAATTAGGTAATAGGTATAGTTCATTACTTTTTTTCACATTTTATTCTTTTTTCAATTTTTTCATCTATTTGTTTATTTCTTCAAACCTTTTATTTGGTTTTATTTGCATTATATGATATATACATTTAGATTTGATTTATTCTAAAAAAAATTGGTTCATATGTTTTTATATATATTTAGTTAAACTGGATATTTGCTATGCAAAAATACAAGAAATCTAAATTATATGTATGTTCTCAATTTGTATATTCGATTTATTTTCTAATAAAATACAATTATGTATGTTAAAGTATATTGTAAAAAATAAGAACTAATAAAAAGTAAATGATTATGACCAAATAAATAATTTTACTTTGTAGTTCAATCAAATATATACATAAAAGAAATTATTATTCTTATTATTATTTGGTGTTTTATTTTTTTTGTTTAGCTTTATAAGATTTAATAGTTTAAGAATATTATGTGAATATAAATATCTTTCACAATTTAATCAAATGATATATTTTTTATATATCCATATCAACATATAAACAATTATTAATTTTGACTACTTTCTTTTTAAGAGGCCAAAGTGAACTATTATTAAAAGTAATAAAAAGTTATAAATATCCAACCACAATTAAGAGTATAATAGAGTACAGAAAGAATATAAGCCCTAAAGAAATTGTACCAACATTACATAAGGAATCCAAAACCATAGATAACAACATTCCTAACACTCAAAAGAACATATTAACCAACAATAAAAATCTTCATTATTTAAAATTGAAATTTACTTTTTCGATCGAACAAAAAAAAATGAGTAGCAAAAATTTTATTGTTAAGTAAATGAATTGAAAAAATAATTTTTTTATGAAAAAAAGATTTTTGTAATTCTTTGTAATTTTATAAAAACTTTGACTCTGAAAGAATATTACAATATGTATAAACTTATATTTAGTTGTATCTTAACCTTTATGAATGTATACATAATATATCAATAAAAATTTGCATCTTCTTTTATTAAAGTAATACAAAAAAATTAAGGTTAATTAAAAAATAATTTTATATTATGAAAGATAAAAAAAATTTAATGCATAGCACAGATTAAAAAATTAGTTATCAATAAAGCAAAGGTTGACCTATCTATAAGTAATGTAATTAATCACATGGAACATGATCAATTTGCGCCAAAACAGGGCGAGAATGCCTGCTTAGGATGCTTAAATTTGTGATTAAACAAATGAAGCGGACCACTGACATTAAAGATTTTTCCTGACATGTTTTCAACAAACATGTGCAAGTTTTTTTTTTTTTTGATGATACAATTTGTGATTACTGTTATATTTAAAATGATAATTCATATATTTATTTTATTTTATATTTAATACGTTTAAAATATAAAAATTATCGTATTATAATTCGTGTTGACAAATCAAATATAAAATTAATTTTTTAATTTTTATCAAAAATTCATGTACGATCTTTGTTAAGATTTTTAAATATATTACTTTCAATTTTTATCATATCATTACGAGGTATTTAAATTTATCAAATCTAGTTAAATTTGTAGTAAACCTATTGATAACTGAGTGCGGGGACCTGTAGCTGCCTTCTTGATAGAAAAGTTGTCTTTAATCAAATGAATTGGTTAGTTCAGCTACAGAAAAGGCATATCTTGTTAGACCAAACTTGAAAAGGTAGGAATGGAAAAGTTTTAATCAGATGGCCTACCAGATGATCTCCCAAGATTCCACAGTTATAGTTCAGGTTATTTCGAACCCTCGGTTTTTGAACATCCCAAAAAGATATGGTACAAGATTTAAGGCTTCAAATATAATGAAAAGCTCATTAAAAAAATTAAATGTACTTGTTTGATATATTCTTATCCAAATTAGATTAACTTAGAGGATAATCCAAAGGCTTTGCATCTTAATGATAAGAAACAGTTAGTCAGCTATTACAAAGGTACCAGAAAGTTTTCATAAATCAATTACTGATTATAGTGGGAAATAACCATAATGTATCTCAAATAATCGAACCAAATGGCATAGTGTTGGTTTAATCCTTTCTTTTTTATTCTTTTCAAAAAAATTTAGGGTGAAGGGAGGTTTCTCCATTCCAGAGTCAGGACAGACTACTGACTTTAAAGAAGCCTTGCATTAGATCTACAAATCACCCACTAAAAAAGACTGCTAGTGGCGAGATTCCAACCTAAACCTTTTTCTTCACTTGTGGCAGAAAGTTGACCTTTACGACTGTATTCTAATATTGAAAGGTTTTGATATGTTACTGATTTTCGTTGTCTTTGAGAATCAACTGAACCAGTTGGGGAAAAATATTTTCCAGATCAAGAACCAATAATTCTGCTCTCCTTTGTCAAACTTCTTGTTCTTTAGCCAATAATTTCAGCACGGGAAAGAAAACCTAATAACTCTGCTCTCATTTCCATCATCAGTTCAAAATCATTTGACTTTTAAGTCATTGGAATTTGGAAGAACATCATAAACATAGATGTCAAGCGAAAAAAAAAAAAAAAGACAGGAAAAGCAGTAGTAAATTGAGAATCATTCCATGCCGTTCATGGTTTGGTAAAAATGTACAGGAAAATGATATTCCTCCTAGACTTTGGTTTTTGAAAACTGGGAAAATTGATACTAAAACTATGTTTTGGAATGAGGCATTAGTATTTGGATATAAGAAAAGGTTTGAATCAAAGTTTAGATCTTGAAAAACCGTTCTCTTCAAGTAGGAAAAGAAAAAGATGAGGAAAAACTGCATACCATACCAAGTGGGGTAAGAAAAAAACAAAAACAGGAAGAAGCCTCCATTGAAATAACATCTCCTGCACAGGACAAGTTGTAAACGTAGCCTTGAAAAGGCATAGTTATCAATATTATTTCAACTAAGGTAAAGGCCATTCCAACCTTTGGCTCTGTTTTGACCAATTAGTACAGTTTTGTGCTTGCTGATCGTGTGAACTTCTTAGAAGAAGAAGGTGAATTACGAGTATTGGACAAGTCTCCTGACCTTCTTCTCAGCATGAGCCTCATTCCATCAGCTACTCGAACGGCTGGATTGGATTTAAAATTGCCACAAAATGACATGTGAGCTTTAACAGCTTCTTCAACACCAGATTGCTTCTTGCTTCTACTCACTTCATCTCTAACAGCTTCTGAGCATAACCCACAGAGCCATTTTCCGTCAAATTTGGCCTTAACATCATTGATATAATTTTGGGTGCAATCTTCTTTCAGTCCACAACACTCACACCTAACTGATTCAATTTCCATTTTGTTTTTTTTTTTTTGTTTTTCCCTTTGCTTGAAGGTTGAGGAAGGATGGAGAGAATTTTTTTCGTTCTTCCAGTAAAGTGATAAAACAAAGTGTTGCTGGTAATATGGATACTTTTCTAGTTGGATTTGATTGCAATGATAGAATAGAAAGTGGGATTTCTTTCCTTTTTTTTTTTTTTTTTTTTTTTTCTTTTGCCTTAGTTTCTCCCTTGGGATTGATGGTTTTTGTTGGTACAAGAAGTGTAAGAAAATGTCTCGTGTTGCATCAGAGCTTTTATGGTTGGTTTGACATAAGAGGGATAAGGCTTTGGAGTTTAGAGTAGGGGAAAGCTTCCATAATTTACTCCATGTTCTAAGGGACATGGGGCTGTGGAAATTGAAACAACATGGTCGGAGGGGGGGCCTCAAGATAGTGCCCCTTTCTACCATTTAAAACTCCACTGAGGGTGGGTCTTCCTTCTTTTTTCCATGATAGATTTTTTATAATAGTTGACAATTACTTTTGTTTAGCAATAAGGTCTTAGCTGATCTATACAACTATTTTTTAAGAAGTAATATTCTATAGATTTAAAGTTTAAATCCCTAACACTTGTAACCATCTCTTTTATTTTCAGGTTGTGACCTCCTATATAAAAAAAATCTTTGGTTAGTGCAGAAGGAATTGGCTAGAACTTGCCCTTTGGCTTCAAACTTGACCTGGCTGTTTTCTGGCTAATGAACCTTTGGCTGAGGCTTGGGCTTGGGGCTTGGGGCTTGGGCTTTGTTTGCTTATATTAATTATATATTCTATTCCATACATTGTCTTAATCGATCAACCATACAATTGCTATAGGTTCAACATTGCTGTCATAATCTGTTGACCCATTGGCTTTTGGTGGAAATTACATATTTCCTTCGGCTCATACAGACAGTCCACATTTGAACATGTCCTAACTGAAAAAATGACAACATGACCATGAAGTCTGCTTTCTACATTGTATTGCAATAATGCTAACAACTTTTTGGCATCATTAGAACAATTGAAGCATTAATTGTTTTTCTTCTCTTCCAAAGGAGGATTTATGGTCATTTGAATGTAGTAAAATTTGATATGCTACATGCTCCATGTGTTCTGCCCAATCACATCATCTCCTTCAATTTTCTTCTTATAATTCTTCTTTTCCCGTTCTCCTTGCAACTGCCAACTGCGTAATTAAGTCATCGAAACTTCCAAGAATCTATCTTTGGTTTTATATATTATATTCCATTATGATGATATCGAACACATACTTCTTGAATTCTCAAAAATGCAGTTTAATAATTTTTAAAATATGAACTTATATAGAAAATAGATGTTATCCAAATAATAATAATAATGAGTCTAAATTGCTGAAAATTACACGAATGATAATAATATTACTAATTTCAAGTTGATTACTTGGTTTTTTTTTTTTTTAAGATAAAAGAAGAAATTATAAATGTTAATTAAGATTTAAATATTAAATTCTGTTGGATATCATTTACTAAAAATCATTGCATGAATTAATTTAATTAAATTTTAGATTTTAATTAAAATGTTTTGATAATATGTGTAATAAACATTTCTTATTTTCCATAGTTGATTTTCTATTTTTGTTTCCTTCTTGACATGAGCTTAGCATCATTTTAAGGGAAACTATAAATTATTATTTTGAAGAAAAAAAAACTACTATCAATTATTATAGGATGATACTATCCTTGGCAAAAAAAAAAAAAAAAAAGAAAAAGAAAACGTTGACACTATTTGGTTTTACATGTATAATTTTTGTGGTTGGTTTGAGGCTGCTTTCACCTAAACTGTAGTTTCTAATCAAGCTAACTTAATTTGGCAAGAGGCTTCTCGTATTCTGACATGTGGCTAAGAACAATTAGTCAGTTTCATGACCCTGAAATTAAAATATATATAAAGAATTAATGATTCATCCTAGAATTATTTTAGTTGGGGTGCGTCCATAATTTCTGCAAGAGTGAAAACCTGGAAATATCAACCCCATCTAACCTTTTAGTAGTCAAGACTTCAGCATGATATTGTTCACAACAAAGACTCAAATACCACTTTCTGAAATTATTTTCAAAGGCTTGTGAAGTAAACTAGTTGCTAAACTTTTCTATAATACACCAATTATTAAATTTTCTAAACAATATTTTTTATTTAAAATTATTAAAATTTAAATCTTAATTATTAAAATTAAAAATTTAATATTCTATCAATAATCCCGGATTGCTTTAAACAAACCTTTATAATAGTGGAAGTCTTTTTCACTTCTGATTTTCAATAAAAAAATAAAGAAAAGTATTTGGCCATCATAATTATATTATATGTAGTTGCAACCAACAAAGTTGGCTGTCATATATTGTAATATCGCTTAAAAAAAATAATGTATCCTAATAATTCTTTCTTACCAAGCAAACAACCCAAAGGGCGTGATAATTAATCAAGAACATGTCCAAATTTATGGTATGGAAGTAATGTCAAAATCATATCGGTATATAATTAAGCTGGTGCAATTATTATTTCCTGTTGAAAGAGATGCATGATTTAGAGTCAACTAAATAAAGCATAATTACAGTCTAAATTATGTCAAAGCGATTCGACGATAAAAGCCTACTCCTTGATTACCCACCACTAGGTTGGATTTTTAAAATCTTGTTAGATGGTTTCCACTTAAGAAATGGCCCAGATTTTGAAAGATTGGTTCAATCCACTACAACGGCATTAAATTGATTATCACTTAGGAAAAAAAAAAAGTGGAAAAGCTCAAGCAACTTTCTTGTGAACATTTTTTTTTCCTTACAAAATAGATTTATTGGGGGTGTGCCTACTCTGCTTATTTTTCTTGAGACGTGACACTTGTCCTCTCAAATTCAGCTCCAGTGATTTTAATCTAAACAACTGATGTATAACCCATGATTTGTTAAGAAAAGGACGTTTATTACACCAATCATAAAGGGTGAAAGCTGCTTGATCTTTTCTTTTAATTACTGAACTAACTTGACAATTTAAAAAGGAGCACAATTCCAAAAGGTGAAGCACTTTTTCATGTGGCTAGAATCCATCATGTGCTTGGAGAAAAATTTTGTCCTTAATTCAATTAGCAATGATGCTGTTATTTAGCTAGTTTTTACGCAATTACAAGACTTGGAATTGAGCCGAGCTGTTCCTAGGAGTCCTCCAGATGGGGTGGTTACAATTATCCTTTTGATTTGACATTATTTGGCAACAAAAAATCTTGGAGTGGTCCAAGATTTCTGTAATGCTCTTTTGCATGGCTACTAATTGTAGGATAAACTTTCACAAATCATAGTTTAGCCATAGATCTCCCCACCCCACAATCCTCCCCCACTCCCTCTCCCTCTCCCCCACCCAAGTTTTCCTGTGCAGTTGACTTCTTACTTGTGATTGTATGAGGAGCCTAGGCCAGGGCATTCACTGCCCTGCTTCAATGCATTTCTTGTCATTGCTTAATCTTTCGGTTCTGATATGGATATAGTAGTCTTTAGGGGCAAAATAGTATTTATGAACCTCGAGAATCTTCAAGAGCTTGGTGGTATTTTTGTAATTAAGTCAAGCTGATGTGATGAATCGATTTGATTTTTCGTAGCGTTACTTCATCACAGTCATTATGACAAACCAACCCAATATACCATCAATTCTACTTGACTAAACTGACATGTCACTTGGATATTGGATGCCGAAAAGCAACCTCGAGTCGGATCTTATTCACATTGGTTCGGCACCTACCACCTCGAGTTGAATAGTTTAGACTTCTCAAGTATAAATTCCTCCTCTCTCTCTCTCCATCCAGGTGATCTATGCCACTCGTTTTGCTTTATTCCCTTGTTTGCTCTTCCCAGCTTCTCGCTCCCTAATTTGAGCGACGGAGCTCAAATGTCGAAATCACTTTCGATCTTTATTGCGGACTTTATTCTGATGTGTGCTTCAGGTGCTTACCCTCCGAATTTTCACCCAAACAAGTTCAAAGGAGGGACAAGTAAGCATGCTTCTAGGCTTTAAATTAACATGTTAATTGCTACTAAAATGAAACTAGATATTGATTCGTTTCTGATCAGGCTCAATCCTAACAAAAAGATTTGATAGCAGAACTTTTGTGCGTGGTGCTTCTAATCAAGTAACTAACCTGGTCAAGACAAATTGCTAAGCTTTTCCAACCTAAAAAGTATGATTATTAACTTATTAAATGTTTTTTTTAAAACAAAATATAATTAGGAAAACTGGTTATCCTGGACCAGTTTTCCTAAGATGAGACTGAAACCCCACCCATTTTGTTAACTTAAAACATCGGCTACCAAGACATTGCCCTGACCCCATGTGAACTCCAAAACTGTATTCAGATATTGTCATCAATGTACAAAAGAGAGTATGCTTAAATTATTTACAGGTCCACAGACAAGCCATGGCCAAGCATGTGGGGTTGCTCGGGCTGAAGCATACCCTCTTTAAAGCCATATCTGGGCATTGGCCACGTTAATTTCGGTAACTGTCTAGCACCCCCAACATGCGAGTTCTTGCCCGGTAGATGTCCAGCAATTCCAATGGCCACCATGGTGTTCCCAATCAATGTCTTTTAAGGGGTCACCAGCCGTTTCCCTTGAGTAATATCTTGGCCAAAACATGTCTGAAATATAGAAAAGGCTGTCCATTACTATTGAAATTTTGTTTGCTTGTCTTCCTTTTTGGGTATAGCCAACTACATTCATTAACCAGGCATGGCATTTACTATTTGGAGATAATGTTACAACAACAACTCCGTGTTCTCATTGGAAACTTGTTCCATTTCAGTCTCAAATATTGTACTAAAACGGGAAAACGAAAATGAAATATCTTGAATAAAAATATTCGTATCTCCTTTTAAAAAGTAACTTAACTTGCATTGTTAATTACGTGATTTATTAATAAAATATTGCAATTTATTAATCAGGATATATTGAATCCGAGTTGATTAATCTAATTCAGATTGAAATTGAGGGCAATCCTATTGGCTACCCAAGCCTTTTAGAAAGTGGCAAAAGC